ACCTGATCTCTACCAAAAAGTTCGCTCATTACAAATACATACCTGCAACTCCAAATGTGGTGGCCCAGCGCCAACCGTTTCTAGATGCAGAAAAGGATTTCCTCGTTCCTTTGCTGAACATACCTATTACGATCCAACTAACTATAGATATAAATATCAGTGTTTAACACCTGAAGACCAATGGGTAGTCCCATATCATGCCCCAACTCTAATGGTATGAAATGCCCATATGAATGCCCAATATGTTACTAATAAAGGACTTGCTCGGTATATAACCAAATATATAAGCAAATCTGAACCAACTCATCTATTCAACATACAAGAACAATTATATTATCGAGAATATATCCATGCTTACCAAATAGGATCAATAGAATTAATATTTCTATTACTTGGTGAACGCATTACAAATTCTTTAATCCAAGTTCAATTCCTAACAACTGATCCTCCATCCACTTGGCCAAAAGCCATACTACTATTATATATGATTGACTCTAATGATGACAATCCTTATTGGTCTGACAAAATAGAAAAATACTTCGCTCGGCCAAGTGATCCCATATTCGATATGATAATGTACAAAACTTATTTTGAAACTTATAAAATTAAATCTACCAGACCATCTAACACTCAAAGAACAGTATATCAGAATACTTTAGGAAACTTCATCATTAAGCGCAACAACAAGATACTAGTCCGCTACTGATTTTTAAGACCAGAAAATGGCGAACCATATTTCTACCAACAACTTCTACTAAAATATCCTTGCAGATCTGAACAAGAAATGCTTGGATCCTACCAAACATACCGAGATCACTTTCTCTTCCGATTTCCTGACATATACCAATCTATAATTGCCCAAAATTCAAAATTTATCTCAAACTACACAACTTATGTCCTAAACCAATACAATACAATAATTGAGACAATCGTCTCTTCGTTACAACCTATCCTAACCGGTAACATAGTCGACATTATAAAAATACAATTAGACTCGCTCAAAATACTACCCCGAATAATATCTGCAAATGTAATAGTCAATCTAACTTCAAGTCAATACCATTGCTACCAAACAATAACAAATTATCTAGGTAAACGTGATGCCTCACATTACCCTTACTTCTTCATTACTGGCTTAGCCAGCAACGGCAAATTGTTTATGATTCGTATATTGCTAGAATACTTCCAAAGAATTACTAATAGCCTCTACTAGAATTGCTGCCTTAAACATAGGCGGAACTACAATCTACTCTGCATTACGAATAATATTAGATGAAAGAGGATTTCACTCCCTTATATTTCGCGATACAAACTTCTGTAATTCTTTTCTTCAAATTGATACTCTATAATCGATGAAGTCTCGATGGTATCAGGTTCGTTACTAATATACATCTCTGAACTCTTCGAACGTCTACACAAAAATAACTACCTATTTAGAGGAATCAGTATTATCTTAGTTGATGACCTTGCCCAATTACCTCCCGTCAACGCACCTCCTATGTATTAATCACCAATATAGAAAATTTTCTATCCATTATTTTTTCATGATCCTCAAAGACAAAATGATGATACCCACTTCTATATTCTTTTACAAAAAATTAGATATGGTATCATAGACGAACAAGTTTGAAATATATTATCACAAAAATTACTAGAAACCATCCAATCACCCCAACTAGATACAAATCTCAATACCACTCACATAGTAGGTTATTCGAAACTGCCAAATTAATCAATAGAACAATTTGCACCTCAATCCCAACCAACAAAGATAAGGTCCTAATTTTTGACTGTGTCGATATCATAGATGATCAAATATGTCCTACCAATTCAAGACATCGTGAATTTACAGATAAAACAAATCTTCCTAGTACTGTTAGAATTCAACCCAGAGCAAGAATCATGTTTTTGAACAATTCCCAATACAGACACCACATAGCTAACGGTACCATAGGCATTGTAACAAATCTCAATTTACAAATTGGCCTGGTGTATGTTAGTTTCTGTGTTGAAAGAGCAATCATTAATACTTCGTTCACTAAATACACCCACAACTTTTACCTTAATGGCTTACCTGCCAGTAGCACACAATACCCCATACAAAATGCATTCGCTCTTACAGTACACAAAATACAAGGATTAACAATTCCTGATGTATCTCTAAACTTAGATAATTAAATCTTCGAGTATAGACAAGCCTATGTAGCATTAAGCTGCTGCACGAAATGGGAACATGTAAAAATCCAATCACTTGATCATGATGCATTTACTGTTGATCGATCAATGACCGATGAATATGAACAACTAGAATCCAAAGCACTTGAACCATTATCACTAAATAGATAAAAAAATGCATTTGCTTCACTAATACTTGCCTACATCTATCAAAATAATTTAGATTAATTATATTCACAATCACATCAAAAATTTTCTATATACTATAAATAAATATATGTAATTCCCCGGTATAAATCTACATATCTATTTGATATGAACGACTTTATGTATTTCTTAAGAACCCATTACTGATATTAAAAATTAATAAAATAACCGTAATCATAATCGACCTCTAAAAAAAATTAACACTGTACTTACTTCATCTTATTATATAATATAAGATTTTAATTCATTAACTCTTCTATCTTTAATATTTAAAATTTTATCCAAAATTTTAAGTTAATACATACCCGACTAACCAATTATAATATCTTGATTTATTTCAATGTACCAGTATTGATCTTTTTACCGTCATACAAAACAACCAAGTATGTACAAGTGTTGTAATTTGTACACAACTCGACGTATTATATTTTTTACCGTCGTACAAAAATATTATATCACATGTCAAACTGAATTTCAAGACGTAAATCAATTTTTTCTCTTTAAAATTTTGATTATAAGTCGCCAACTCACCAACCAAAAAATTCCTTACAAAATCTTAATACATTTAAGCCTTTATTCACATCTTAATAACAAAATTTACTACTTATATCTCTTTACTTAATTAATCTTTTTGATTTTCACATTACACTTAACCTTAAATACGATTTACATCACAAAAAATATTTTGTAATTAACTGCTCTAACACCCCAATCAATCTAGCACAACTCAATACAGCTCATAATAATTATTTATCATTAAATAAACCTACAATAACATAACACCCATCAACACTAAACTTCGGCGGCGAAGCCGCCACATGATCAAGTTCTAGTTTTCTATATAAGTAGGTTAGTGATTTCCAAGAAATTTTCCATTTGTGTAACCCAAGCTTCTGGAATTCGATCTGACGATTCAGATTCGGACCTCATACAAGCTAACAATTATTATAGCAAAATTACGATCTGAGCAATTTTACTTAGTGCATCGGTTAGCATGTTTATTTGGTGATTGTCGGGCATAATTAATTAAGTCCGGAAGCTCAGATTACACAAAATAGTCAAAATTTTTGGACTAAACTACTTTTTCAATATATAATGATATAATATAGTGATACAGAAGAATCGTACTTGCTGTAACTGCCATATAGGGTTGTTAATAGGTTGGGTTGGGTTGGTTTGGGTTGACCCAATCATCAACCCACTCCACTAAATTAGACTTACTCCAATGCTTTGCTCCGGGTTGCTCCATAGTACTCCGGGTTGCTCCAGGTTGCTCCAAATTTAAAGGTATAATTTTAAACCTACTCCAACTTGGGCTGGGTTCTACTCCGGAGTGCTCCGGAGTAAGCTACTCCATTAACAACCCTACTGCTATAACTATAGTAAAGAATAAAGTAAGTTAAGCTATAATGCCTATATTACTTATTAGCACTTAATATATTATGCAGGCAAATTTGCCTGTAAAAATTATTTTTTGTATAATTATGAAAAGAGTAGATAGGAGAGATCGACTAAAGACTATTTAAAATAAAAATATAGCATTTTAGTAAAGTATAGATTATAAAATTTATGATATTAAAGTTTTTATTGTTAAAAACTTATCTAGAATTAGAACTGCACAAATTTGTAACTCTAAATAATTTTAACAAAATTTATAATATCTCAAGAGTTAGTGATCGATTCGAGCCTTCTCAGTGAAATGAATCGAATAACGTAAATATAGTCAAAATAAGACATCTTACCCAGGTGCTTTAATAGTCATGTGACAACCGACGATGTCGTTAGGGTTTCGAAAGGCAAATCTTGATTTTCTTGATCATGTTACATTACTGTCACAGAGTTTCTCAGACTACCATGTACTTGTTGACTTTACTAACGGTCTTTACTCACTTGGCTAACATGTACGATGACTGGAGTATCGTGCCAGATACTACCA